CTTCTACGTGTAAATTTTCTAGCGACTTTAGTCTTTAGCTCCCTACAAGAACGGTTTCTATTACCCAGTCAAAAACACAGCGATATAATTATGTTATTTTGATTTAGGCACCAATGCTCAATTCTTCTATTCGAGAACAATGCTAGCTTAATATAGGTTCAAATGCACACATACAGCTAAATATCTCACAAACGTAATCTTGTTACAAGTGTGTCTTTTTTTCCTTTTTTGGGAAAAGCGTTGTTTTGAAACGGCATATCACGCGTACGCCCCATAGGCATAGGAACATAAATTTTACAGTTTGACGTTTTATACTTGACTACAGAGTGCTTTATTTACATCTTAAATCGCCAAGGTTGTGCAAATTGCAAATGAAATCCCATCAATTTCACTCGAACAGAAGCGGGAAACCTCTGAACTCATGTGGCGTTTTGACGTCATCTGCGTAGAATTAATTTCAAACGTTTTCGCGTGTGTGAATGAAAGTATGCTGAACATATTTCACATTTTCTCGTGCATGCTTGTTGCTGTTTGTCTCTTGTGTTTGACATAAACAACTTCGAAATTGTTGCAATCAGTGGTAGCGAAAGATGGCGGAATGTAGCTACATTCTACATTTTGGGCATGAACGATTGAAAAAAACTAGCAAGATAAGCCAACTTGATGATGTGTAATTTTAACACAACAAATAATAGAACCTCCTCATAGTCACGTCTGCCCTTCAAAGACACCAATTTAGCTTTGAACGACTGATATATATGCATTTTGCTCAAAAGGAACATGAACATGGTTCTACATCTTTTTCAGCTTGCTGTTCTTATGTTCCATACTATTTCTCATACTATACGAGCTTCAGTGAACAATTTTCATTTGACTATTTGAACCTAAGCTAAAACCACTGAACTGATGTAGAACGAAAAAGATGTAGAACCATGTTCATGTTCCTTTTGAGCAAAATGTAGCTAGCTATATCAGTCGATTCAAAGCTAAATTGGTGTCTTTGAAAGGCAGACGTGACTAAGGAGGTTCTATCATTTGTTGTGTTATAATTTCACATCATCAAGTTCTTATCTTGCCAGTTTTTTTCAATCGTTCATGCCCAAAATGTAGAACGTACATTCTGCTTTCTTTCGCAACCATTGATTGCAACAATTTCGAAGCTGTTTATGTCAACCGCAACAGATAAACAGCAACAAGCATGCACAAGAAAATGTGAAATATGTTTAAGGAAAGAACGAGACCACGCAGTTGTTTTGAAGCTTCACTTATCTATCGGCTTAACTATTATCAACGTCTTCAGTCTCCACCCTTTACAAACTAAAGGACAGACTGGGTCACACTGAATTAGCTAGCCACAGATGCTACAAGGAACAAAATCTGAAATTAAAATATACACTGAACAGTGAATGCTATACCGTTACGTCCGTTAAATGACCTGAAATAGACGCCGGTTGTATTGCAAGATGAATTTTGTATCATACAGTGCTGATACCACCGAAATAGGAGCATTTTTTTATATAATTGACCTCAAATTTCCTTATCAAACAAATATTTTCGCAGTGTTAATTGAGAAGACAAGTTATCAAGGCCTCATTTAGAGAGTTTCCTATTAAAAAAACACAAAGATATTACCTGTTACTGATTTGCCAGCCAGATTTAGGCTGATTTGCCAGCCAGATTTAGGCTGATTTTCCAGTCAGATTTAGGCTGATTTGCCAGCCAGATTTAGCCATTTAGGCTGATTTGCCAGCCAAAACTTAGCCAGTAAATTGCAACCCTTATTTCTGTCAAACAGTTAGTCGCATTTCGTTTATCTTTTTACACCTTATTAATCCGCTAGTAAGGTATCATCAAAACAATGTTGCGTGTATTTTGCCACGCAAACTGTTTAAAATAATACAAATATTCGAAATCAAATCGCGATAGCTGAAAAGATGGCGCCTGTTATACCCACGTAACAATATAGACTTATAGTACTTTGCGGTTAGGAATAATTCAAAACAATAGATGAATATCTTTTAATCACTCACTTAATCTGCCTGTTAAAGTTTGCCTATTTCTCACTTTTTCTTGCAATTTTTTCACGCATTCAAATAAGATACCCGCAAAGCATTGTAGGAAGGACTGGAAGGTCGATATTCGACATTCCGCCATCTTGTTTTTACTATTTCCATCACATGTCTGATCGTATGCAAAATTTCGATGTTAATGAACAAAAATAGATACTTCAAACCCAGAATAGCACACATACTTCAAAATATTTTTTAACAACTTTGCTTTAAGAAGTTATCACCAAAAAATGTTCGTATCTCTGCTGATAAAGCGGATGCAACTGTTAAAAAATCAAAAATTAAAATTCCTAAAATTTCGCGCGCTTTTAAGTTCGTCCAGAGGTCGCTTCGTCGCGTGATGGCACACGTGAGCTTACTTAGTTATTTCGCGCTTCTGCTGTTGGCAGTTGCGAGAAAAGTTGCCTGATTTCTAGGAAATTAGGACTAGTTTAACAAGGGTTGACCAAATATAAAATGGAATTTTTAATAAATAATTAATCAGATATATTTAATATGTGAATAATTATTAAGAGTTGCTAGTTTCTTTCACAGATGGTTTTCTCCACTGCATGATTGCTACACCTAGCACGACAGAAACTACGGTGAAGCCCTGCGCTATCACCCGCAATCTCATCATGTGCTGTTGTGAGCGAGAGTGGCCCCTTTGGAACGACACCAGACCATAAGTTAGTGCAGCAACTGTTCCAGCCATACCTGAATATAACAGGAGAAATCTAAATGATTAGAGTTTCTGACTAGTCATTGATTATTGCTGTGATAAGGTGATAACTAAACATCAAGATATTGCTAGCTCTATAAATATACTGTTATTGAGATGTTGCATAATAGTGTTGCATAATAGTGAGTGGGCTGAGTGTTTGTTTATGTTTGCTATGCTATGCCCATACTTGTATCAGAATAATCTAACAGAGAAATCTTCTGAAAAGGCATATTGATAATTTTTGGTTTGCCTAATGGTTAACAAAACCATCTACCACTGTGTGTGTTGTGTGGTTAACCATTATTGACAATTCAAAATGCTAAATTCAAATACAAGTAAGGTCACAAATAACAAAGAAACATTAAAACTATTCGATTATGCATCACTTTCTGTGATTACTCTAGTCAGACATGTTGAAATGTTCTCTAGCAGAACAGCTGAACTGGCTGGCCACTCTTTCATTTACTACATGTGGGCTATGAGTCTGCTATGACCAGTAAATTGCATAAAAATTGGGAATACATTGTATGGCTGCATGATTAGCCCTACTGTTAACCCATATACTGTGTATAGTGGTACCTGTCATAGAAATATGGTGGTACTTGTCACAGAAAATTGTACAGTGAACTGATGTGTTCTAACCCATGCTCATTTCACGGTTTTCACCCAAGAATATACCCACCAAATGGAACAAATGGATTTTCCTTGCATTTCCGCCAAAATTTTTCCTTCGATGACTCTGGTCTATAGCTGAACCAGAATTCATCGTCGTCCTCCTGTTCGGGTTTCATAATTCTTTGCCAATAAACGTGTATAGAATTGATATTTTGATAAAATTTGATAAACTGAATATATCTTCAAATATCACAAGTATTCCAAAACATTACTGTGTTTCCACCGCTTTGAAAATTTTCTACTTCAAAAATGGCTTCAAAAATAGCGGGTCGCGACATAAAAAATTTTAAAAATAGAGCATAATAAACTGTATTTATTTAACAAATATATTAAAAAAAACAACCTGATTTCCGTTTTGTAAAATATTTTTACAAACCCTTGCTTGTTTTCTTTAAGCTTGTTGAAACTTCAAAGACCTTTTGGTTGTGGACTTTGGCTCTCAGTAAAAAGAATTCCATCATTCCAGTAAAAGAAATAAGGCAAAGTGGAAGTTGACTTCTAAAATCCAAGATGGCGGCGAGATCGAGTGTTCTGTGTTTTGTTAATCCTAGATTTGCTCCTATTCTTTTTAGAAGATCGCTTAACTTTTATAGCTCAAAAGGTAGTACATATTGGTTTTTGCAAATTTGGATATATATTTGATAATCATCCACTATTGCACACTCATAATATCACCTCAAAATTAAAGTTAGCAGATCATATGTCAGAATAACAGAATTCTGATCAGCCAATTCAATTCTCAGTAATTAAGGGATGTCTGTTGCATTTTAAGGTGTCTCTCCTTTGTCAAGACGTTCATATCAGTATTTGGGACCAACAAAACAACTTCATACGTTTAACAAATGTCTTCACATGGAGGGTAGCAGTTTGCCATTTGTGTGTCAAAATTTAGCCCCAAAATTGGCTTGTAGGACTTTGTCAAGTTTTCCTACCAGTAGCCAGCTGCTTCAGTCGTTCAAGGCCTCATTCACCGGGAATATGTGTTTTAAAAGAGGTGTCACTTTGATCAGCAAGAAAGGAAAGCGCAAGACTTGCAAAGCTGTGGCGAAAAGGTTTATTAGAACTGGTAATGGGAAATTAAAAAGATGGCGGTGTGGCAACCATCATCATCAGACGAAAAAGAGTGGTAGAAGAAAACGATTTCTGCGCAAGCCAACTTACGTCTCGAAAACACAACTCAAGACTTTGAATAAAATGTTAAATGGCTGGTAGTTTAGAGGTTCAGAATGAGATTTGGCCTACACTACTTTGAAGTCTACAATTTACAACCAAGCCTGAAACATGTGCAAATTTCTTGTGCAATTATTAATTTGAATTTAACCCAAAAAAAACCTAAGCAGTTTTTCAACAACCAGGCTTGTCATGGCGACCTGTGCGACTGTGTAGTATGACAAGGCTTTGATGAACAAATATATTACATGTTGGTAATTTTTTACCAATGTTAGTTCTGAGAGTCTTCACTGTCATTGTTATACAAATGATGTGACGAATATCGTGGTAGGATCTGACTATTCTTTATCCTCAAAAACTACCAAAAAAAGTGAGGAACAGTTTTCAATGATTATAAAATATTATACAATTTGGATTTACTATGTTATGCATGCATATAGCTCGCTCTATTTAGTATCTAGATTTGGAAATCCAATTCAACCTACTATTAATTGAATATTTGCATCAATGTTTAAGGATTTTGACTTGCTTTAGCCAATGTCGAAGAGGGAAGTTGCATTCCAAATTGCATCTTGGATAGCAAAGTAAATTTTACCCTGCGTTGCAACAATTATGGCACTATAATCTAGAAAAACTCTCACATTCTATAGTCTTGATATATTGTTGCATGTCCCTCAGCCAAGCCTTTATGTAGTTCTCCTACGAAATTTTAGATAACCTAATTACCTTTGCTAATGTTTCAATAGACTTGCCAGCACTTTGTTTTTTTGACTGAAATAAAAATAAGGACATCTTCAGGTTTGTTATTATTTAAGTTTGCATCAGTTTTTCACTGAATTCAAGGGAGAAGTGAGCTTCCCACCCGTTTAAAATATCCCTCTTTATTAAGACATTTATTATTTAAAAATTATTCACCGAAGGCGAGGTGAATATCGCTAAAGAAAAACTGAGACGAAGTCGGGTATGGGGGTATAATTACAAAGGTGACTTTCTGAAAAAAGGAATGTGTTGTTGAAAATACGTCTTACAAATGTAAACAAATATCTCGACAGTCTACAACGTAGTTTCTTAGATCAAAATCATTTTAGGCCTAATTGTTCGCTTCTTGTGCATTTAGGTACAATATTTTCGTTAAAATAACTTGTTTCTTCATATTTTAATATAAACAACTCGCCGCCATTTTGAAAAACCGGTCGCTTGACCAATCAGAGGCCAGAATTTTAAATAATCGCTTTTTGTAATTATTTTATTACTATTATTTTTATTATATCGTGTATTTTGGCGGGAAAATGTTCAAAACATAAAATCTTTTCGGCGTATAATTCAAAACTCATTTATTTTACCTTTATTCTTTAGATTATGTTGTGAACTAAAGTTTTGAACTGTATTTGGTGATCGCAAAACACCAAACGACAAGAGTTATTTCAAAATATAATGCGGCTATCAACAATGTTATGAATGTCAACGCAATTATCACTGAAATGAATACAAAAGTAGCCTCGATCCAAGTGTCATTTTCTTCTCGGCGTATCCCGAGAAATCTTTTCATTTTCACAATATTTTGAGATTATACAGTAAACATACTTTGTAGATGCTTTTCAGGCTTGCAAAACATTCAGTTAATGTTGAAAATTTTAGCGCTGTTGCATGAAGATATAACTGAGGTTTTGAGCATATATTACGCGACATAGAAAAATATCTTTTCTTAATAATTTATTATTAGAAGACCTTGTGTATTACCATACTAGATCCATCATTGGTTGTAATGATCAACCTACCTTTTTCTCGGATTCATTCCTCTGCTCTCTGTGTCCGTGTGTATCTTCTCGATCACTCAACGCAGCACGTGTCTTTGTCGGCTCGGAGCGCCCGCGTTCCCAGCTACCACCGGATACTCCTCTGGATCCCGTATCACCCCTTCCGTATCCTTGTTTATCCCTTCTTCTCGACCGCCATCTTTCACAGCGCTAAGAACCTACAATAGAGTAAAAAAGTAATTCAAAACTTTAAGTAAAGTTTGCTGATATTTTTTAATAAATCAGTATATTAACAGCAAAAATATTTGGTTTCAAATATAATATAGCTAGCAACAAGGCTTTTTGTTGTTATTGGAAATAAATCTGAAATTATTCTCAGATTTTCTCGCCAAATCCAGTTGGTCGTCAGGAACCAACGAAATATAAACGTCTTACTAATAAAAAGGTTTATTTGGCCCGTATGTCAAGTAATAATATATGCTCATACCTGGGTGAGAGGTGTATTTTTGCTTCCTTTGTCAAACTCTATATCTCTCTCCATCATCGCTTCGTTTAAGCTTGCAAGCTGTTCTCTTAAATCCTCGTTATCTTTACGCAACTTCATCAACTCGACACATTCCTGGGAGACCTCGTAATCTATTTCTCCTTGCTCCAAATGGCCCTTTTCCCTTTCGACCTGAACGAGTCGTTTCACGATATTCTCCATCTCATTCAAACGTTCCTTCTCCCATTTCAGTTCCGAGATGGAATCCTCGAGATTCGCCTTTTCCTCGAGAAGCGACGCAACTTCGGACCGAAGTTCGACCAAATTCTCACCGTTGGCACGCACTTCGCTCAGTCTCACCCCAGTCTCCTTGTCAAATTCCTCAACCCGTTTCTGCAATTGAAACTTCTCTTCTTCCAATCCTTCAAATCTCTTCACTTCGTTTGCGAGCACCTCTATATTCTCGACTGCTTCTTGAAGATCATCGGCAAGCTTGATCTTCTCCTTGTTACTGGCACCCAGTTCCTCTGCGAGAATCAGGCAGCGTTCACGTGTCAACGCCAGCTCCTTTTCCCGCCTTTTTTCGTCCTCACTAAGCTCGGAGTAACCCGGCCGTCGATCGGGCGCGGAATCGTTGACCGAAGTATTCGCCATTTCCAACTGGGATTTCAACTTTGTCAATTGTTCCCTTGCTAAAGTTAGTTCATTTTTTAACCTATCCTTTTCTTCCTTGCCCCGATGCAATTTGAACGAACGCCGTTTCGGTTTTAAACTCGTAGAAAGAGATGCGTCTGTCAATTTTTCTTTGTCAACAACTTCGACATCCTGGGCAGATTCGTCGGCTCTTAATCTTGCCTTGACTTTATCCAACTCTTCAGATATCTCTTTCTTCTCTTTCACAAGTTTACAGACTTCGCCTTCGAGCCTAAAACACTTTTGCCTGGATGCTTTGAGCTGGGATTCAAGGGATCCGGTGTGTTGCAAAAGAAGCGAAGCGCTTTTCAACTTGTCCCGTATGCGGCTAGGTTTCCCTTCCATTTCGAGCTTCAACATTTTCAGGGAACCAAAACTTCCACGCGAAGAACGCAACGAGCTGAAGCTTGTGTACATCTGTGGTTCGCTGAGGTCCATCATGGATCGAGACATACTTTGGTAGTGCGGTGTGTAACTTGGCAATGACGTAAGGTTCAGCGAACTGCTCGAGAGATGACCGGTCGACGAGAGGTCTGAGAACGACTCGTTGCCAAAGTTTTTCCACTTTTTAAGATTACTCTCTTCTTCGACTGCCCCAAAGTTGTCAGGTTTCTCGGCACTATCTCCTTCGGCGAGCTGCGATTCCAAGTAAATCTTTAAACCTTGTAACTCCTTCACCTCTTCCTCAAGCAGTTTGTTCTCGTCTTTCAAATGTTGTCTTTCTTTAAGTTCAGTTTCAAGAGCCGTTGTTTTTATCTTGAAATTCCTCACCTCCCCTTCCAAGTGCTTCACAAGTTGTTTCACCAAGGAATACTTTTTGCTAAGCTTTTCGACAACGAGATCCGTTTTGATGGCATCTCCAGATTGATCCTCGGGTCCGTCGCTTTCTCCAGATTCATTGGAACTGTCCGTGACAAAACTCACGTCCGTTTGACAATCTCTTGTCTCGAACTCCTGGGTTTTTGCGTTTAAATTGACTTTCTTTACGGATTCAGTTTCCCAAGATTGCACTTGAATTGATGGCGGAGATGTTGATGTAGTTTTTATACGGTAAACGTCTGTTTTTATCTCAGCATCAGCCTGCGTCGACCCAGCTTGCTTCTTCACCGTAGGAAAGTCTGAAATCTTTGAGGTGTTCTTCTGTGCTACTTTTTCCTGCAAGCCAGCGATGTCTCCATGCAGGTCAGTCAAAAGCGTTTCGAGTGTGGCGCGATCTTTCACGAGCGACAAGCATTGTCGTCCAAGCGCTTCGTTATTCACCTTTATCGCACTGATGTCGCGTTCCAGAGCTTCTATATCATCCATGGAACTGGTTAAGATGAGTTCCGCGTTCATATTCGTGTGTTCAGCGCTGTCAATGGCGCTGTCGACCAGTCGGTTTAATTTCTTGGATTTATCCGAATTTTTGTCTAAGAATTCCAACGTTTCCTGGAGAAAGAAAATTGTTTACAGGTTACAATATATTTAAACTGTGTCATCTTCAGTCAACAGCAAACTGCTATCGTATAAACTGAGTTCAAGGATAAATAAACACAGTTTAATTCACTTACATCTACCTTTATCTCAAAAAGATGCTTCAACGTTTTCTCCGACTCCATTTTGCTCTTTAGCAAATGTTCTCGGAACTCTTCTTTCTCAATCTTGCTTACGGACGTTCTCCTGTCGTCTTTGGAATCCGATGGATTGGCACTAGTGAACGATATCACCTTCTCGACTTCTGGTTCTCCGGGCACGGTCGCGGGTGGCCTGGTACTAGATGACGTCGTTATCGTCTCGCTGTCGTAGGTGGAAATAAGTTTCCCGGATTTTGGATCGTCGCCTTGAGTCGCACTGTTGTTGCTTTCTTTCAGGGAGATTGGTTCTTCTTCAATCGAGGAAACCTAAAATGAGTTCAGTGCAATTAAAGAGAACGTTTTATCGCTTACACTAATATTGGGCATAGAATTACCCACACATCTACACACTACAGTCAAAGCCCTTTTCAATTATTAGGTCGGTAGGTCCAGTGGAACTTTTTCAGCAAAATTACCATCGAATCTTTTTTTGCCAACAAATTTAAAATGCAAAATTGTTTTCCAGAAAACTTTATATTGAGGGAACTATAGTTCGTCAAAAACTTGCCTATATGCTATTATATAAACTAATCTGACATTGGAAACATCTTAAAGTTGATAACTTAACTTTCACCAAATCGGAAAAAGGTTGGCATTTCACCAATTTGGCCGGCAACCCATATCTACCAACCTGAGTGTATGCCTCTCTTGTTGGCTTCCTAACCACTTCATCCTGGCTGAATCTATCTCCCATCACTTTCATCATGAATTCTAATTTCTCATTCTCCTTTGTCAACTTGCCGACTCGCTCACGCCAGTACGCCATCTCTATGTCGTTTCCAGTTCCCGCGCCGCCGTTCCATTTCGACCCCAGCTTCTTTCGGAGGGTCTTGACCTCGAGCATGAGTCCCGAATTTCGAATCAACAGCGCTTCGACCGACTGGCTGTCGGGAACATTCGTATCGCCCCGGCGTTCTCGGAGTTTGTCGACCAATCTTTCGTTGTCGTTTTTCAAAGACTTATTCTTGTGCCGGATTACCTCAAGTTCTTGAACAGTCGTTTCGTATTTTCTGCCAAGTTCAACAAGCTTTTTATCCGATGTTTTTCGTTCCAAAACAACCAGGCAACACAACAGAGCTTTGTCCAACAAAACGTACGTAAGGCATCGCTCTGCATCCTGGGAATTTCCCAAGAATTCTGGATCTAAATTGATTATGAATGACATAAAATATTTATCCAAAAATGGCGGTCAGCTCACTTGTTGGGCTCTACAGATCTTTTAATAACTAAGCGAAATTAAAAAAATTGTAAATACTTTTGTGTAAAATTTCAACGTTTTTTAAATGAAGCAAGCTATGTCTTAATACCAATACCCTTTAAATAAAGCATTTAAACTCGATGTTTTGAGAAGAACGATAATCAATGTTTGATATGAGTAATTTGATGTCGTGTGCATTGTTCAAATAAAATACATGAGCCTAATATTTCTACATTCTTTCAATGAAAGACTCTTAAAACGATCCGATAACTTGACAGTTTTACAGTTAACTTTTACAGATTTTTTTTCACAAATTTGCTACGAGCTTTTCGCAAAACGTGGCTTAAATTTCACTAGTCATACCAACCTGACGAGTCTTCTCTTGCTTCCAGTAGTTTTTGTAGGACATGATAGACATCCTTCATGTTTTCCATTGACGAACGATCTGTAAAGTGAAATCAAAACAGATTGGCCTTAATCCTACAGCGCAATTCACAATAGTCAAAGCAACGTGCACGTTTCAATTCAAATTGAATCTACAAATGTTTGTTACCTCTGAATGGTCTCGTAAAAACGAAGCTAGGTTATTTGGAACATTGAAAGTCCTCCACCTACCTTGCTTTTCGATGACTTTATTCAAAAACCTCAAAGTCCTGCCGTCCACGCTATCTTTGAGAACTTTCAGTCGTTTTCGAATCTTAACCACGAGCGTCTCCAAACTTCCGACCCTACCTTCAAAATCATTTTCAGAAAACTCTATGTCCTCGTCGCTGACATAATCCTCGTTTCTCGCCTCAGAAAACTCCCTTTCCGTCAAGTTTAAGTAAGTCCCTAACACTCCGATAAGATTGTCGACGTTCTCAAGTATTTCCTCCTGAGTTTTCGCGACATCTTCGCTCGAAAGTTCCTTGGATGCTTGTTCCATAAGTTCCGCAGAACGACAGGCTGTGCATTCGATGGCGTAATATAACTGCATCGATAAAACTTCCGTTAGGAGAAGTGATTTGGTGCTGCTGTGTTTGTCGTTGGACGAATGACGTTTGTTTTGTAGTTCCTCTTCAAGAGCAAGTCTCGCGTCCTTTTCGCGGGAAAGTTCAGCCTGTAGCTTTGCCATGCTTTCCGCATGAGCACTTGCCTAAATTTTAAAAATAAAAAATGTCACATTTGAGTGTTATTTCACCGTAAAAAACCAGGAATCACACCTGGTACGAAAGAGAAAATATTTCTTTTGAACATTCGGTTGCATGCAAAGATTATAAGGTCAATGACAATGCTGACTATATGAAGTTAAGTGTTTAAATTGATATAAAGTAAATATACCTGTGAATCCAATAAATGCTTCAAAGCTGCATACGCTTTTCTTGCCTCGCTCAAACCGTCGCCAAATTTCATTTCAGCCGCCAATTCGGCGTCCTTTTTCGACAACTCCAGCTGACGTTTTTGGCTCAGTTTTAATTCCTCAATTTCTTTATCTATGAAATAACAAGGCCGATGGAATTTCGCATAAGAATATCAATATTTTCAATGGATTGATTTATTGAAATCATCCAGTAATAACAAAACACAGTAGGACCACGTTATAGCAAGCAATAGACAGCAGAACTTGCACTGGAATATTGAAAGTAAAATTAAATAGATGTACCTTTGGCGTCCAGAAGTTTTGCCAAATCGTCGCTTAACTTTTTGTAATCCATCTGTTAAACAAAGCAATGCATTCATGGCTTGTTTTGTTTTAAATATCCTATGTGTTTAGTTCATTTAAGCTTTGTTAACGATATAGATCTTTTCCCTACTAGACTACGGGGTTTTTTCCTACCAAACGAGACTTGAGCTTTGTTGCATTTCCTCAACTCGTGGTTCAAGTCGTAAATTTTGACATGCTGTTGCAATTCATCGTCATCATGAAGAATTCCTTACCTCAACGTTTACATAAGCTGTATTTCTGACTTTCATCGCTCTGGATCCAAAATTCAAGGAGCATTTTGTCTCGTGAACGTGATTATCTGAAGGGGAGCAACAAACCTGGATGAAAAATAATCAAGAGTATTGCATTGGTGTTAATATTTCATTCTGGTTATTTATTGTTTCAGTTCTTTGTCGACAAAGTTCTATTTTACAGTGGAACGATTGAAAAGTTATCAAGTTGGCGGACCACTTTTGTGATAGCCTACGTCTTCATCTCAAGGGGACAACACAAACATATTTTTACCAAAATTTATAGATATTCCACTGAAGAAAACTTTGTCAATTGCATATACAATATAATATCAATAAGATGCATTCAGTTTAAGGTTTCAACAAAGTAATATATCTCATTTGCACTGTCGCTTTCAGAGTTGATCGAATTTTCTTCTATAGTTTCTGTATAATCTCTATATAAAGTCAAACCATTCGCACTTACGATAAGGCTAGTTTTGCAATTGCCACCTAAACTTTCTTGCAGAAGTCTTGTCAAAGTAGAATTTCTGAATGGAATATGTCCGGCGCGACCAGTGTCGGCACTTTCGGCCAAAGCTTGAATTACATTCCTAAAGGCATACATGGTTAGACCAGAAACATTGGCATGCAGTGCAAATTACATCCACATAATGCAGATATTAGGTATCCAGTTTCTCCCATACAGAGAAGTTGAATCGATGGTGGATGTTTTTTAAAAGTTATGTTTGACTCACCCGAGCTCCAGTAAAGAAAAATTGATGTGTTGGGCTTCGCTCAGCCTTTCTCCTTCAGCGTTTGTTTTCTTTATGCGTTCACTTCCTGCTAAATCGCAGCTGGAAAAATTTAAAAAGCAGTTAGGACAAGTCACAAGATTCTTCAAGTAGTGTCTTTAACAATATATTCGTTAGATTGTCATAATAATGTGAGCCTATAGGCATCCTAGACAATCTTTAAATAAATGTGTCGATTCATTTCCGTCCCTGCACATCAATAGACGTTCTTACATGTATAAATGTCCTTTAAGCACAACATCTTCATTGAAAGCCATCATTTTCGTCAAGGCATCGTCTTCCTCCTAGAACATCGAGAGTTTCGTTAGATGCAGTGGAAATAATAAACCAATATGTCGAACCTTTTCGTCAATCCACTTTGTTTATTGCCAAAATGCTGGTAGCTGTTGAAAAAATACCATTCAACTTTACAGTCAGATGTTAGAATATTTCTCTTACGTCACTTTCACTTGAATATTGCTCGTCCGATAGAACTGATTTCTAAGTAATGAAAAGGTTGATAATTTTAACATGGGAAGAGTCATTAAAAGCAAAAACTAGCTCAAAATTTGGAGTACAAAGCCTTTTTGAATAATCCTATTGACTGAATTCAGAACAGGCTGAACAGGCAATGGGAAAAACAACAAACACTTTCAGGCCAATCTTACCGATAAATCCATTTTTGCAGGACTTTCAACACCTTCAGAGAGTAGAGTTGCATGGAGTTTCTTGTCAAACTGTTTCTTCCCAGAAGTTGAAGAGGTTTTGGCGTTGTCTAAAGTTTGAGAATGGGACGTGACGTTAGCAGTCATATCATTGCGAGACAGATACGTTTCAGGGTGATTCTCTGGTCACACACGAGACATTGCTGTTTCTTCAGGCTTCATATTTTGCATGTAACAAAATAGAATAGCATTGTCACGTGTGTGACTAGAGAATCACCCGGCAGGGAAGTTTAGATAAGTGTCAAAGTTTCAAAGTGTAAATTTTAGAGAAATTACCGGAACACTCTTTGAATGGCAAAGTTTCAAAGTGATTTGATAATTGATTTTAATGCAAACTTTCGTGTCAAACGTATAGGCTTGGTTGAAAGTACGTTTGTAGCAACTAACTGTTGCTGTTGTAACAACTGTTGTAACAACTCATATTCCATGCATATATCATTATAAGATTATCTCACCTGAGTGCTTTGAGCTTCGTTCAATTGATAATATGCAAACGGAATGCGACCTATTTCAAATTATGAAGGTAAAATCAGCTATTGAACAACACCAAACAAATCAGTCACGATTTTTACATCATTGAAAGTTGTCAGCATTAAAATAATCCATATTTCTTATGCAAACCTGCTTGAGGTCCGATTCATTTTCGTCTCCGCAAAGATCAACCTCTTTTTCCCCAATTCCATGAGCGAGTAAACTTCCGCCGGTCCACGCACGACATATTCCGAAAGATTTTCTACATAAATTCCTGGAAGACAGCATTAAAACAACTGTTTGAACAACTTTATTTCATGTTATTGTGATATAGCATCAATTTCAGAGAAGTGGATAAAATATTTATCGAAATAAACGATCAATCGCAAACCTTTCTGGGGATGTTCTCGTATGGTCAAGTCGATTTTACTTGAAGCAGCATTGTTTAGAAGATCGTAAATTTTCTCTTGATAAATTTGTAGGTACGACATCGAAACCTATCGTAAAATAGCAAAATTGGGTGTGAATCATTTCGAAGTCGTTCCTGGGAAGAACTTATAGACTTACATGGGGAATTAAACTCAAAATTTATATTAACTGGTATAAGTTGTATTCTTGGTCATGACTTACAGGTATGGACGAGAGGGGGATTTCAAAGTGGTTGCCAGATTTCAAAACGGCTGCTAGTTTTAAAGATTTGATCAACAACTAACCACTTTCAAATCTATATTGCTTCAAATCTTTCAGTCAGTTAACCCAGGCCCTCGTCAGTGAAACAATAATAACAATAGCTCATGAATTTATGGGGCATGTCCACGAAAAAACATTTCTGCAATTCAACCCGAAGTGAATTTAATCGATATCCTACTTTATATTGTAGATTCTCATGAGATGCCATTTTTCGAAAGCTTTTTTCGATAATGGTGGCCGCAACTCCGTCCGGTGACATCAGGGTGTAGGTTTTACCTATATTTTAAAACACCGGGTAAAAACACCATTATTACCTCGTTTGAGAATACTATACACCATATTCTGATATATTCAACCTTCATTAACATTTTTACCACAGAGGTCGAGCATACTGCATAATACCATATTACGGTATACTCCACCTTCACTAACATTAATAACACACCAAGGTTGAGTATACCATATATACCGGTATATTCCAGCTTCACTAACATTTTTAACACAAAGGTCGGGTATACTATATTTCGGTATATTAGACCTTCACAAACATTTTTATTACCAAGGTCAAATATACCATATATACCGATATATTCAACCTTCACTACACTTTTATTACAACCTTCACTAATTTCTAAAGATTATATAGCTGCGCATACCTGATCCAGTTTGACCATACGCCATCACGGTTCCATTAAATCCGTTTAACGCCGCATTCACGAGTGGTTTGCTGATAAAATTCGAAATCTGTTCAAGAAAAATAAGGAAACATATTTATGTATGGTTGCAAATCTAAAGCTCTTTCCACACGATTTGTTAGATCCAGTTCACTTCTGACGTATGGAATGTAATCGGTAATTGAGTACTGCATTTATAACTTTAGACGATACAGGATGTAAAATGCATTGGGAAATCCGAATAACAATAAGCTCTGCTGTTTCATTTGCATTTTTTCATTACACATTACCTGTGGGTTGGTGGTTTTTGGAGGGAACACATGATCGAACTGATAGGTTTTATCCAAACCAACTCTAGTGTCATTGACCAGAACCTGTAATGTTTTGAGAAATACATTTACTATTTAAGCTTGGACTTGCACTTAAAAGGTGACCTCAGGCACGACCATCGCTAAAAGCACGCGGGGAGGGGGGGTGTATATTCATATATTTGTCTTATGCCTGACTGATTTTGAAACAGGGAAAAAATGCGAAAAGAATCTTATCTGATAATACATTTGAATTCAAAAATCTTTTACCAACCCTAAAATACCAAAAAGTATTAAAAATTCATTTACAAAAACAATGTGTGTTGAAAAACACATGTGAAATGCCTTAAATTTTAAAACGAGGAAACAGCTAGTGTCTATAACATGAGCAATATATATTGCGCTCTGTAGGCGTAGTGCAAATATCAAAGGGATTGAAATTCGCGTCTCTTGATAGCGAAGTTGAAGCTTTGAAAAAACTTCATTCAAGTATATTTTAGTTTAAAATTGCGCTTCGTGAAATATTTCATTTAATTAAATAATGTCATAATTAAATAACTATACATCTTAACTGCACTCTATTTTGTGTGTTAATACGATAATTCTATCACAAAATATATGTAACAAAACGCCTGGATACGAGTCTGAATTATTCACATAAAAACTTGGCGAAAGTTCGTTTATCAAATGTGCATCACGCATGTCCACAGTAATCCAAGATGGCCGACAACTCTCAAGAACTAAGAAAACAATAACTAAGCGAGTTATGCAATATGGTCTTCGATGTAGTTCGAAAAGCTTGTTTAAAAGCGGCTATTCTTTGCATTCTTAACAATAGGCTTCCTCTCCTCTGTAGAAAACCGTGTTACTGTCTGTTTCGTGGATTTTAACTTCGTACAACAAACCGCTAGGCAACAACAGATAAATTATTCCAAGCAAACACCGCTAGATTCTCTGTCGTGCTCACAACATTCTCAAAATACGCCACGTCTTTGTCAATACACTTGTGATCTAAAGGCTCGACAATAGCTCGGTTCAAATACTCTTTCAATGTGGATAAATTCATAACAAAACCGGTTCTTGAATCGATTTGGCCTTTCACTGTTACTTCGAACGTGTAGTTATGTCCGTGACCGTTCGGATTATTACATTTGCCATAAATCTTTCGGTTTTCTTCGGCAGACAAGTTCTCGTTGTGAAGTCTATGTGACGAGCTGATTTTCACCTTTCTCGTCAAGTATGCGACAGGCATATTGCTCGATTTACGAAGCTGCTAAGCGATTTTATAAAGTAATGTAGAAGTTCGGTCAAAGATCGGCAAAAATCGTGTATATAACAACAAAGTCAGTTCAATAATACTATCTTTGATCTTAGCAAAATCTCATTTCCTGTTCTCAATGTTTACGATGACGTAAATGTCTGGTTAAATATGACTAAATTATCATAAATAATGTAAATCAACGTGGCGAATATAAATAATCGACCCATCATGGCTGAACTAGTTCCGGCATTTTCACTTTTAAATTTTAACTAACAAAAACAATGCACGAGTAATTGAAAGGATAAAGAGAAACGCGAAAGTTAAACAGACCGGATTGATGGCTGGTTATGAGTCGTGAAAGCCGCTTCGTGTGTCAATTCACGACCTGTACGGTTATTAACTTCAGTTGAACACAAAGAAATTTAAACAAATTGAACACAAAGTTGAACAAAAAGATATTCCTAAGCCTTTGGGACGAATGTTCTAGTGAAAATACATTATATATTACCATATCAGAGAGTCACAGCTTTAAAACTACTGAATGTTTAGAAGCCTAGACAGGATATTTTTACCTCTTTTTTATCTGCTGAGACTTCCACTGCATTTTCATCTTCTCTTTCCAATTCGCTATCATTCATAGGACGTACACGAATGAAGCATTTTACCCGGCCAGTTGCTGCAAATGTGTTAAAAACGCATGTTTATGTACGAAATTTTATGACACATAAATATGATTAAAATGACATTTTTTTTTTTAACGACACATAAATATGATTAAAATGACATTTGATTTGGCATTAAAATGACTACATCTCATACCACGTTTGGAAAAATATGACAAGCGATATCTGGTCCAGTGTAGAAGGCCGGATAACGCTATCTACTGTGATTTGTGCCTTTTTAATCGCTCTAAAGTTGCCCATGTTTTGGTACAATTTGAAATGGAACTTTCTTATTCATCAAATAAAGTTTTTTGCACTGCTTAAAAAAAAACACTATCCGGTGGATAGCGCTATCCAGCCTTCGTGTATATACAACCGGCCTCTGACGAAAAACATATCAGTTCATATTTCTCTAAGTTTCTAATAGAATACAATATGAAGTTTTTGTGAGCTGATCCACGTCATTAAACGTTTTAATGGATCAAGATGCGTGCTTTAATTCCACAACAACTTGTAAATTTAATTACTTCAATTTAAACCAATTCCGCTCAATTAAGACGTCTTAAGTAAACAATAGCTCGACTAAGTATTCGCTTTTTAACAGAGTGGAACAAATCACAAAAATCAATTTATTCTTTGGATAACTTCTCGAGAATTCAATGCATCAGAAAATCGTTGACGATGAATCGATGTAAATTACATGCACATGATTTTGTGTGCTGTCAAAAATTTTAAAACAACTTTACTGAACGCGTACATTACCTCGTCCAATCTTAACCACCCCTGATTTTTGTCGTTTTGAGCCAGTTCTTTTCATCTTTCCGTTCGCTGTTAAATAAGTAATCAATCTTTAGTGTAAGGATTTGAAATCGATGCTCAAGTCATGTTCGCACTATGATATCGGTTAAAAATTATGGCGTATAACAACTGCGTGACTAGTATTTCTTTAAAATTACAAGTCAAATATTGTTTCCTGCGATCATTGTTGAGCTTTCTAAATTGATTTCCGCAAGTTTACACAGCAAAATAGTTTAGAAAATATCAGACTGTCAAGCTTTGATCAAACGTCTCGCCTGAATCGACCTAACAAAGGCCAGCTTTCGCAATTTCGACGGTTGGGGAACCGATTATCCGACAAGGGTGAAAGAAGCAAATGCATCTTCAAGACAACTTTTTTTCTATAATGGCTAAACCGTCCATGAAGTAGAATATAAAATTGGCGGTATCTCCGACTTGGAAAATTTCCAAGCAACTGGAAATTGAAATATGCAAAAAATATTGCCCTGAGACAGCAAAAGTTTGTTTCGCTAATTTATAATGTGCCGAACTCCATTGCTAGTGATTAATTCTTCAAGTGTGAACGGGTTTTTCATCCTGGAGAAAGAATGTTGACTTATTTACTTTTACATATTTACTGTTAAGATGGCTCATTATCTAATGTTGTTAATGCATATGAGAAGTACTGGGCACGAGGTTTGAAACAGGCTTCACTGTTAAGTTAAGTGTGACGATGCATATGAAGTTCATTGTCCGTTGGAATGTTCTTTGAGGTAATAAAAGGTGGCTGAATTCGGAAAGAAAGCCATATACTTAACAATCCGGAAGAAGAAAGGATCACTCGAAGAACTTTGGGGAAAAGTTGGAAGCCCAGAACTTGCCCAGGTATACATGGTCATGATTGGAGAAGTTTAAAGAATCTGTTGGCTCGATCTTTGGTTTTGCAAATTAATTCATCGCCGTGTTGATTTGAATATCCAGAAGCCATTAGCGACTATGGAGGCATATTCTTGCCGATTTTCACTGCTATATCTTGGGTATTTCAATTGAAAATGTGAAATACAAGTGAACTGTTAACTTGATTTTGTTTTTCCTTGCTTATTTCATTTCAGAACGAGCAACGGCGGGGAAAGATGAGGAAGGCGAAACACAAACGCTTGCTCGCAGCGAATAATAGGTATTGACTATTGTTATATTAATATATGTGTATTTTGCATTTCTGACTTGAAATAACACGTTTGTACAGGGGGGCGAAACTAGAATATAGTTTATTGATCGAACTTTTTGGGTCTCTATGACATAAACGTTTCCCGTCTCGAAATTGGTTCTTCGGACACGGTTGTCGAATCCTGGATACTCTTTATCGACGCTTTGTATTAATTTTGAACAGGGAAAGACTGATTCAAACTGAAATTAAATGCCTAAAGTAACCCGTATTGTTCTATGTGTGTAGTTTACGCTATAGATTTGACATGTGCTGAGTTATTTTAACCTGTCTATTCATAGTTAATAGTTAAACCTTCGGAGTTTTTCCCAATCGTGCTGTAGTGATTATACTTATATAGCTTCCCTTGTCAATCTACGCAAATGACTTTCACTAGGCTTTATATGGCCGTGAATTGTTTTGTTTCACCGAGGTTTTTTTCTTTATTAGAATGAAAGAACAAGATGTCGGAGCTGCCTTAGGACATTTATGCACGCAAATACAAAACTCAATTTGATTTCGGTGAAAATCTGCATGAGTAAAATTGCATGGGTTTGGCATTTTTTGGCTGAGATATTCTTGAACACTCTTCTGTTTACCTCCTTAATTTTCAATTTTTCGGCTTGCGGTTTTTGCATGTTAACATGGTCGTGTCAAGCGCATGCAGAGTAAATACAAGTGATTTGGGGCCCCATCACTTGTATTTTCTTCATCTTGAACGACAATAGTCCGGAACAAAAATATCGCTCACAGAGCGCCTAAAACATCAAAATGCATGAGGAATTTTTTCTAGAAAGAGATAATAGTGGAGTGTTTTAGTTTTCTCGGTACTGTTAAGAAAACAATGAATATTTCATACAAAACGTGCATGACATTTTGTATTCGCGTGCGCAATGCGAAGGCTTTGGACAAGTGGCGTGGGAGATGTCGAAGGTCTGCAATCAGATTTTGAGTGATCATTTTATCCGGAATGATTTGGAAATGAATGATCTCGTATTTTTGTATCTATATTAAATCAGATGATGGAGGACCGTCGGAGGATCAGATGATGAAGGATCGTCGCAGGATCAGATGATGCAGGATCATCGCAGGATCAGATGATGAAGGATCGTCGCAGGATCAGATGATGAAGGATCGTCGCAGGATCAGATGATGGAAGGATCGTCGCAGGATCAGATGATGAAGGATCGTCGCAGGATCAGATGATGGAGGATCGTCGCAGGATCAGATGATGAAGGATCGTCGCAAAATCAGATGATGGACGACGAGACGGGTGTACAAGCAGAAGCTGGTTGAGGTACATACTATCACTATACTAATTAGAGTAATGCCTGCGATGATGTATGTGCATGGTTTATTGTTATTCTGCTGGTGGTCTAACCTAGTATATTCACACATCAAGTGACATTTCACCCTTTTCGACTATGCATGATAACAGGAAATTTCCCACCGTTTTCTCGATGAACTAGTTCCCAGTTCAACGCGTTCCCAGTTTTGTCACTTGCGTGTGAATTTTAGCGACTTAAGGTGGTCTTATACAGCCAACCAGTCAACAATTTACTGCAACTCAACAAAATACAATTATTTTTGTTCATACTTGAGAAAAACGTGTGAATAATTCAGTTTAGAAACTCAAGTCGAAAAACTGGGATATTTTGTTTTGCTGAGAAAAACGAAAAAAAAATTCTATTTATTCATAACAATACAATGAAACAACGAAACAATGGAATAAGGCAATGAATAAGTTTTCTTTGCTCTATCAAAAATATTTTAAGGTTTGCTTGAGAGGCATTTCAGGAATGCTTTTTTCAAAACATTGAAAAGTGATCAAATCTTTACATTTTTTGTATAAAACCACCTTAACAGCTGCGGCAGATGCATGATGGCTTTACAGCGATGGAATAAAAATATCAAAATGCAATTAGTATGGTCGACGCGCACGCAATCGAACGGAAAATACTATCCAATTCGTATTGGCCTAGTTTTAGACTAATACGAATGTAATCGCGAGTACTTATATGATTATATAAGTTCTCTGTTCAGCCTGTTTGCAATGCGACCGCTTCGAACGACCGTCAATGGCATCAAAAATTATACTTTAGTCTTCGAACATTTAAATTCGGAGTTTTGGAGTTTAGAATCAAGAAAAAATGACTATTTTTTGGATGTTTAAACACCATCACTCTTCTGTTTCCCTTGTTGGGATTCAATTTTTCGGATTGCAGTTTAACCCTGGAAATTCGGTTAATCCCAAACGTGGAGGAAATAAACGTAACCTAATCATTTTAAACTGACTTGATGAAATTTGTATAAGAGAGAAAGTATATACCTTCTATATTACATCATATGTCATTACATTGCATGAATTATGATAACTGCACTTGTATAATAGGTTATCTTGGGGGCATGGTATTCAAACTGCATGTTACCATTGTACAGTACCCTCTTGCCTAAAATGTCAACCCTTTAAAGAAAAACCTTTGTACTTTGACGCACTTACTACGTTGTTTAATTTCTTGCACGCCCAATCGTCGAGATGTTGTGAAAGAAGAACGCAACTGTTTGGAAAGAAGCAATGAAGAAAACGATGTTCGGTACACTATTTACCGAAGGTAATGATATATATGCAGTGAGAAAGGTAAGGGATATTGATTAGAAATATTAAATACGTTGCATGTTGAACCCGATTACGTTTATTTCCTCCATTTTCGCTCAACCGTAATCCAGAACGTATAAAAAAAATAAAATAAAAACGGTACACGAGGTGCATGCGCATGTCCGAAGAAGAGTGCTGTTGTCTATATCGGTTTGAGATGAAAAAGCATGCAAGTTGTGAATTCGAACCATTTCTTTATCATAAAATGAACATTTGAATAATTGAAATAATTTTTGTTGCCATTGTCGGACAAAGCGCGATTTAAATTATAAGGGACTGATGTTTCGCGACAGACCACATGCGCGCTGCGCGCGTTAGACCACCAGCAGGATCGAATTGACAAAGCTCAAGAATTGCATGGCAATTCCTGGGACTCGGTTTAGATGAGCGGAATTGAAACGAAAAACTATAGATAAAAACGAAACTGTCGTTGCTGACGATTTCTAATGAAAATACCAAATTCGGACCGCCGGTCAGGTAACCTGAAATTCAGGTTACCTTTGGAGGGTTTTTCACCGGGCACTCCGGTTTCCCTCCTTTTCGTTTGGCTTTAAAAACAGTGTCCATGTCTGGGGCCACACCAGAACGTGTTCGCTGATAGCGATTAAAACACATGTGATGGCTTCTTGGTTAGATTCCAAGAACACTGGCGTAAAATATTTTTTTAAAAACATGCCGCTAGATGGCACTCTGCATTTGGCGTCCAAAATTTTTTGATAGTGTTACCGCCACCTAACGAAAGCCGTGAAATACGCGAGCACACGCAAGCATAATGGCGCTTAGTATCCAGTTTGTCGGTCTTGCTTACGCAATCCTGGTGTGTGCAGGAACTTTTTCATGAGGGTACAAAGTTCCTGCACATACCAGGATGGCGTAGAATTGCGTGGAATGACGCGTGCGCTTCTAAAAAATTTCGCCACCTCAAAACATTAGCAAAATGCAAAAAGTGAGGTTTTTGGTAGTTGGTACAATGTCTATTCTGTGCAGTGTCGGTTAAGAGAATCAGCAGCGGATTTCCTGTCATTTTTATTATCCTCTAGCGTGAAATATGATGACTTAACGCAGTCACCACACACTGAAGAGAAACCTTATGAATGTGATGTTTGTAAGAAGAGATTTTCTTTTTTTAGTCATTTGGTTAGTCATCAAAGAACACACAATGGAGAAAAACCGTATGAATGTGATGTTTGT